GCTTGCCCCTGTGCTAGGTGCTGTACAAACACAACAGAAATGGAGTCTCTGCCCAAAGAGCTTACAGTCTAAAACACTGTATACTGACAAGTATAAAGAAAACAGATGGATACAGACAGATGGGGAAGCACAAGGAAGCCCCTCAGACAGTACTGATGGGCAGTGGGCTCAGCACAGCAGTTGTCTTTCCCTTATTGTAGGCGTCATGGCAAAGGGGAGTTTTCCAGAGGGCGTTGAGGACGGTGACATGGCTCTGCAGTAATGTGCAGGGACGTGTTCCCAAATGGGAGTGGCTGCACAAGGAAAGCATGAATGTGCTTTGTGCTTGTTTAAAAATGTAATAAGTAGGTGATGAGGGCTGGCACCGTTGGCCAGGAGTTGACATTTTAAGAGCCTGCAAGGGATGATAAATCTCTAGCCAGCTTTTAAAATCTCAACTGGGGCTTTGTGTTTGTTTGTTTGTTTCTAGCACGCGTGTTCCCAAAGCCGGGTCTCTACTGGGAACAGACAGTTCTGCAGTCTTTGGAATCTATTAACCAACATCCATCCAGCTCTGTTAGGTTTTGACCTGCATAAGCTTAAAAGCACCAAGAAGTGTCATCCAATTATACTACAAGCAGGAAACATTATAATTAAACTCAGGGAAAAAATACATATCAGGTCTCAGCAGGTTTGTAACTTTGAATGTGCCAATCTGGACGAATTCATCACTCACTATTGGGTAGGGACCCAGCACGGGAATCCAGAGGGAGAACCATTTTAAAAACATATTGTCTCCGATAATGAAACCAAAGAATTTAATATCCGGTTGGTTGAATTTAACATCCCAGATGAAAGCTGCTTCATTTTGCAGAGTTAAATGAGCAAGTCCTTCAGCATGCAGAGGATTAGAACGCACACTGCTCATGCAGCTACCGAGCCAGGCATAATAAGAGAGCAGGAGCAGTCTGGTGGCAAAGGTAACAGGGTGAGATTGGAAGACCTGGATTCAGTGCCTTGTTCCACCACAGGCTTTCTCTTGACCTTGAGAAAGTCACTTGATGACTATCTTGATGGTCCAGTTTCCCAGCTCTAACAGTGGAAGTAGCAATAATACCTAGCTCTTCCCATGGGCAATAAACACTTGATGAAGGTCAGTACCGGTACCTCTGAAGGGTTACTGGCTGGGCACGTAAGAATCATCCTAGAGAAGCCCCCTCGAATGGGCCATCCACCTCCCTTTGAAAGTGATTACAGATGGAGAACATGTTGTTTCATCCAGTCTGGTGAGCTTTCCTTGGGATACTTCTAGTGCTCCCACGTTTGGCAGCAAGGACTGGAAGTTGGACAGGTAGTGGCTTTTGTGTCAAACTCTCTTTGCCCCCCTAGGAAAACCTGCGCAAATTTGGTTAGATTACAAACACTTAAAAAAATCTCATTTTGCACATGCTCCATAGAGACTTGGTAGCACTTCAAGCTAAATCTCTGGACCTTCTGTCCATGCTGAACATGCTCAAACACAAGGTTTCCCAGTATTGCTGCCCTGGTTTGCTACTACAAGACTCTCTCCTGTAGTCTCAGTTGCTGCTCCTGCTGGACCCAAGCATTGTGGAGGAGGAAGATCCTGCATCTTAATGTACAGGGCAAGGGCTAGAGCGGTTCACCCCGTGCACTAAAAGAGGCAGGGGTCTTATGAAAAAATAGAGCATGTGGTCATGCACTTAGAGACCACATATATGCACATATATGCTGTACTGGCAACATGATTCTGGTGCTTCCAAGCTTTGAAGTTCTTGCCTTTGCACCCTCAAAAATGTTCTTTGAATGTGGTTGTTGTGTGTCTTGCATGTCAGTAGTGAAGTTAAGTGAATTAAAAGGAAGCCACTAGATGAGAAAATACATGATGCTGTGTATGGGGTTGGTAGAACCACCAGACTGTTGGTAGTTGCACTCTGGAAACATCTGGCTTTGTTTTGGTCTTTCCATAAGCTCCCAGCAAGTGCTGATCCAATTGGAGAGCTAAAGAGGAAATTCATTCCTTCCCATCCCATCTGTGCTATCCACCTTGCTTGTGGCTGGCATCAGTACAGAGATCCATTGGGAGAGGATCTTATACCTTCTTCCCCTGTCCCTGCACAGAGCCAGAAACAGCTGGGGCCCGTACAGGCTTCTCTCGGTAATGGCCATGACATGCACGCCTTCACCTTAGCCCAGCCATTTTTCAGGCATTCTGGTTCCACGCCCTGAAAGTAAAACCTCTCTCACAGTGCACCTGGCCAGTTGCTCCCCCCAGCACTCTGCAAGCTAAATGCTTTCGCCCTGAAGTTTGAGGCTGTGTTAGGCCCCACTGGTGCCAGCAGTTGTAAACTATTCTAGTACAACAGATCAAAGGAGCAGTAGAGGCAGTGGAGCTCCATGGGGACAAACACCACCAGCCATAAACTGCCACTGTCCCCTTGGCTCTAGGAATCCAAGCCGAGGGATGGATCTCAGGACGGCGCCCTGCGCAGCCACGACCGCTGCCGAGGACTGCAAACAGCAGCTGCTGGCAGACAGCGATGCCAGGCAGAATCAGGGACCATCGTAATGTGCCCGGGATCTGGATGTGCCCTTGAATTCAACAGTCCTGGCAATAAGTTAATGGCAGCTACTCAGTTTTAACAGGTCTATGGGTAGTTTTATCACCAGCCATCTGCGTGACAACAGCATGACCAAAGTACAAAAGCATATTGGTATCTTCATCCATATGGTGGCCAGGAACACAGGGCCAAACAGGGGCAGGGAGCTAGAATACATATAAAGTGTGTATTTAATGAGCAGAGCTAAACCCCTGCTCACCAGCTCTCAGTGGAAGGTCACGGTAACAGCAGGAGCTGTGGGTCCCAGCTAGGGCATTGTTCCTCCCCATACCACTCTGCCAAAGCTGCTCCTCATGGCCAGCAAGAAGAGTGCCAGAGAGAGAATATTCCTGTACAACCACACTCCACCTTGCTGCTCCATCCCACAGTGTCCCAGCTCTTCTGGGTCACCTTGCCAAGACTGGCAGATCTTGGGCAGGGCTGGGGTGCAGCTTGGGTCCCACTGGGAGCCACATGATGCTGGGCAGGAAGTGTTTTCAGTGGTTTGAACAAGCTGGGTGGGAGTCCTGGGCAGATGTGAGGTGCCGGCTTAGCAGCCCTATTGGTTTGCAAGAGCTCTGTCTGCACAGCCCACCCACTCCTCAGCTGAGAGAGCCCATGAAGGGACAGCGAGAGCACTGCAGAGCCAAGCATGGGGGCAGTAACCCCGAGCTAGCACAGTAGGTACCAACTCAAGCTAGCGTTGCACCTGCTTGGGGTTAGTGCTGGCCGAGCTCCAGCATCAGGGCAGTCCCCCAGCACAGACAAGGCCTGAGCTGCACCAGCATCTTCCTGATATCCCACCTCCATAAGCTTCATATGGTTTATATCACAGTATATGGGGCCGACCCCCCAGGGGTGTAACACTGTTGGAGGCCACAGAGCTACAGCGGGGGTGAGCTTGGTGAGTGCTGCACCAGCAGGGAGTGGCTTCCCACAGGAACACCTGCCACTTACTGTCTTTCAGGCTTCTTGCTGCATTCCTTCAATATACATGCTAAATCCAGTGCTTCCGCATCCACGTAGTGCAGTGACATATCTGTCCCTGGCCCCCGCATCCCTCAGCCAAATCACCCCTTAGGAATATGGCAGTACCTCAGCACTCAGCTAGAGCTTTTCAACCATGGAAGAAGAAGCCCCTGTATTTGCAAATGGCCCTTAGCCAGGGGTGCTGTCCCAACATTTCCTGTCACTGAGATAGGAAGGCATTACCCCTCCCTTTAATAGAGGGGGAAACAGAAGCAAAGAGAGGTTACATCACCTGCCCAGCGTCTCATAGCAGATCAGTCACTGAGCCTAGCACAGACCCTGCCATCCCACCCAGTCTATACTCCAGTCCCTGCACTCACACCTTCAGAGAGATTTATAAGCCATGGTCCTTCCTGTCCCCCCCACCCCCCATTCAGCAGGTAGGTGAACATCACATTCAGCCTTTACAGGCAAGAGCCCTGAAGCTGCCACCAGACCCCCACTCCCACCAGGAGTCAACACCACAGTGCTGGAGCTCCTGGCCCTCAGGCCTGTGCTCAGACCACCCCATGCTCTCTGCTTACCCTTCCCCAACCCAGCTTCTTCCCATCTGTGTGCACCCATCAACCGTGCCTAGGGAACTCACTTCTGTCCCCACTCTGTGCACTGACACACGTCTCCACCTGGCTGAATTAAGGGCCTCCTCATTAACATGCTATTTCTATGCGGTAGCTCAGGCTGGCGTTTGATATTCATGCAGCGATCCGGTGCTGCTCGCGCTGGCTCTGCAGCTCGCTCTCCTTTTGTGCTGCAACAGACAGAAAAGAAATAGAAACTATTCAGGAAGAACAACAAAAAAGCTGCTTATCTGGGAGTGAATGGTGCCCTATTGACAGCCCCTGGGACTGGCGTCATCTATTCACGACTGCATGAGGCACAGTGCAGCCGCTGCTCCCCTCCTCCCCTGCCGACATGTGCCAGTACTGCCTGGGAGGAGCGGGGACAGGATGGGGAGGGCAGTGTCCTTGACCCATCCCCTCAGGGCAAGGGTGCCAGCACTCCCTGGACTCCTTTGGCAGAGAAGAGGCCTCCACTCTCCAGAGGTGCCAAGCTGGCCCCTGCTGTCAGCCTGTACCATTTGGTCCGTAAAGCCCTGCCTCGGGTGGGAGCAGGCCCGGCTGCAATCTGGGCCAGGTTGGTGGCAGAGAATGTTGCCTTGCACCAGGGCTTGGGGCTTTGCACCCGGCCCACTCGGGGATGGCTGAACTGTGTATTTACTGTCCAGTGGAACAAAAAAAGAGGAAAGCAAATGAATTTCCCAGCTTGCTAATTGATGAAGGGAGATTGCATTGGCTTAAGCCACAGTGTAAACTTTAATAAAGGTCACACTAATGAATGGCTTAATTCAAGAATTAGAAATTAACTGATGCGATTTTGCTTTATGAACTGCTGGGTTTGGATCTAACCCCACACTCCCCTCCTGGGGACAGCTGGGCCAGGCTGGTGGGGAGGCAGTGCCCTCTCGCGGCACAACAGATGCATTGCAGCTTTCTCAGTTCTGCTGCGGGCTCCGAGCCCCATAACGCTTTTTGTGTCCCTTCTTGCATCCACTGCTTCGAGCCCCCTGTGACCCAGCAACAATATATAGGGGATGGTCTTACAAAAAAAGACATGGTTGGAAGCCAGGAGCTACATATTAGAGACTTGAGACCTACTTCCAACTCTTCCACAGACTCAGATCGACCCTGACAAGTCACCCCCCCACTCCTGTACCTCAGTTTCCCTATCTGTGTAATATTGTCGGCCCAATTCATGCCAGAGTTGAGTGCCTCAAGCCCACATTATTTGAACTTGTCCTACTTAGCACAATTTGGGCAAGGGCTGTTGGCTTTTTTTTTTTATAATTGTCTCTTGCTCCCAATGCTCTGCAAGGAAACGTGAGTTACTTTCTCATTCTTTTCCTTCCCCAATTACCACCCTCCCAGGACCTCATCTGGGTGATCAGTCTTCTTATCAGAGCAGTCAGAGTGGGGAAAAAACAGTGGTCTACTCTAATCTATGGGATCAACAAGCATAACTGCCCTGAAGCCAAGTTTTTCCCTGCTTACTCCAGCCATGGACAGGTCCACTGTGCTCACATCACAGGGCCTGTGAATATGTGCTGACTCCCCACACACAGCTTGGGATGGATTCTTCTGCATTTGGGTAGCTTGGGATGTTCCTGCTAACTCCCCTGATCAGGGTGGTGGTGGTGACGTTCAGGAGACAGTGACAGAATTCAGGGCCCATCTGCACAGCAAGATGAAGGTATTACCAACGTGGCAGTGCTAGCCAGCTGGCAGTGAAGACCCAATGGCATAGGCTAGCAATTAGAGTCCACGGCCAGCGTCCCCAAGGAGGTCATACTGCTGAGGCACATGTCACAACACCTTCACTGCTCTCATCACCCATATGGGCTAGACTCAGCTAGCAGAGGCATGCAGATGTGCCACCTCTCTCAGATCAGCCAGCAGGGGAAGCTCATGTAGCACTGCCAAACCCACATTCCTCCACGTCTGCCCCAGCAGCCTCTGCCACTGAGCTTCCCAGGCACAAGCAGAGAAAGCCAGGGTTAACTCCTACAGGGCATCTTCTAGATCGGCCTTCAAGCTGCTGAGAAAGCAGAATATGCTGGAAGCTACCTTGCATCCTTATGCTCCACGTGGCACTTTGGCACCATGCGTGTGATCGAAGGCAAGGTTACTCTCCAATAGCAGCAGTCATCTACCCTGTATGCTCTGCCAGCTGCTTCATGGGGGAGAAATCACGTCAGCTTCCCTGATCCCTCACCAATATACATGTTCTCAGCCCATTTCCTCCCACAGAAGGAAGGGGCTCTGTGGGAGGTAGAGGCAATGCAGGTAGCAGAGATACTACCTTACCTACACACATAAGCTGGGGCCAGAGCCTGTGCCCTTCAGTTCCAAAAACACCTCCTCCTGCCCCATGAGCTAAAGGAGTATCCCCCTAGGAGGCAGCCCATTACCCTCTCTCTGTGCCCCAGCCACTATAGGGGCAGCATAATAGAGACATAACCAAGCTACTTGGAAGATGGCTGGATTGGTACTAGTAGCAGCATGGCCCAGATTTTAACTCAGGTGAGTCCTGCAGCCTGCATGACACCTACTTTAGGTAGTGTGAAGCCAGCTTAGGTATGTCTATGCAACATTGTAGTCTCAGCAGCAACTTCAGTGTGGATAGTCAACACAGGTTGAAGGTCTATGCAGAGCCTGTTATGACAGTGCAGGAACCAGGTTAGAATGGTTCATCTATTTAAAAGAAACTCTACACCAGTGTTTCTAATAGCTATGCAGATATGTGGATATCTCACTTATAGGTCACCACATGGGCAGTTCATTTGCTTTTCTTTATTGCATTCAGCTTGGGATGTGAAAATAGATCGGTCCTTTTTGCTTTCTGTCCCTGATGCACTAACCCAAGCTGCAACCTGGGCTTATGAACTCTGGAGAAGAATGGTTTAAGCGCAGCAAACTGAAAAAAAACCCTCTTACTTTCTCTCAAATTTACAGACAGCATGAAACATTTTTAGTAGGTATTATAAAGCCACAAATGAATGCATGCATGCGCACATACACACCATGAATGTGGATTCTAAATTTCTTAACAGCATCCCTTTAATTTAACATAAGAATTTAAGACAGCACTAAAGCTGACATGCAGCCAAGAGAGAACGCAGTCCACCTTCTGGTATTTTATCTGCCCTGAATTTAATACTTTGTGACACGTGTATTTACCCTGGTAAATCAATGGATGTTACAGACTTTTTCCAGAAAAAAATCAGGTACTTTAATTTATTGCATTAAATTGCTATATCAAAGGCTTTCAGAAGATCAACAGAAAGTGCTGTAGGGTAAATTTCCACTACCACTTGCCATTTTAAAAAAGTAGGGGGAAAAGGAGTCAGGCAATAATCAGCACTTTATTGTAGATTTAGCATTGTGATTAGATAAGGCATTCAGTGGCAGTAATTCCAACACATGGCTTGGACTCCAGTAGCAAAGAGAAAATGTGAAGACTGTAGAGACTAGATCAATATCTGCGAAGATAAAAGGCAGCTGAGAAATTGGCTGATAATTATTCAGATCCTGCACAGACCCACCTTTCTGAAGGAAGGGTAATTAAAGCCATATTCTAATTAATGTGTACCTTGCCCCCAGTCCAAGCCATCCTTCAAAGAAAACCTAATGAGGCAGTCAGAATGGCTTTGCAGCCCTCATTGAATCTGTCTCTCTCAGAAAGAGGTACCCATGGTGCTGGGGCTGGGGGG